AATGCTATTTATGAGTAAATATTTAAATATGAGTTTAAAACTATAATTTGAAAAATTGACTACTAATATGTAAATACAGATTTTGACTGAGATAATCAACATTCCCAAGTTATAATCCATCATCAAAATTTAAATTTGGGGGCTAAATGATTGGATTTAGTGACCAACTGTTTGCTTAATTCCTCTAACGCTAATACATTGAATTAAATAAGCGTTCAAAATTTGTTTTCACAATACTAATAATTATGTTAATTGATTTTAATGTCTTCAATCCATCGGAATTTCCACGCTATCTATTGTAGCACTGACAATGTTAATGGACTTTGAAGTGTACTTATTTTGATCTAGATGTTGTACGATACTTGGTAAATTTTTATCAATCTTGTCACCATCTAAGGATTGCTTATTAGCTTTTAAGGATTACTCATCAGCTTCTAAGAACTGCTTTTTAATTATTCTTTTATTACTTTCAAGCGCAAGTTCTTCGATCCACGCAGTAATTATCGCATTAATATATATAGCTGTAGGTCTTTCTTTTGGTTCTGATTCCATATATTGCTTAGCTAATTCAACGCAACATTCGGGTGTCCCAGGTGCGAATTCTGGTCGTAATCCCCTACAAATATCCATTCCTAGCTTAGTAGTAAATTCGTAATTACCGAAAACCTTTTCTCCTGTTAATATTTCCCACATGATTATACCAAATGAATAGATATCTGCTGCTTGTGTATATGGTTGGCTTGATAAAACCTCTGGTGCAACATAAGGTAAAATTCCAATAATTTCGTTGTTGTTTTTAGCAGGTGATGTAAGACCTAAGTCCACAATATACGCATAATCTAAATCATCTTGTAAGATGTTACCACTATGTAAATCTTTGTGAATATATCCTTGTGAATGGATAGCTTCAAGATCAGATGCTATACAACTTAATAAATTTAAATTTTTTTCCCATTTCATTTGCGATACTTCGCGAAGATTATCACGTAAATAACCTTTAGCTGCATGGTGTAAAATAAGAATATAATTTCCTGAATTATCTCTCAATAGTCCGTAGCACCTTAAGAATGATGGATTTTTATACCCGATCTCGCAAAAAGCTTTCAACTTTAAAAAATGAAAATATTATTTATAAGTTTTAAACATTAAACAATCTTGACAAATTTACCTCATCAAAAAAACCCTGATCGCAAATTATTTTAAATGCGAATAAATAATTTTTAATGAAATCCTTATGAAAAATTCTGCAATTAGCACGGTAAACGGTTGTGAATCCTCCTTTTCCAATCTCAACAATATCTTCGAGTTTATTATATGGTATCAATAATAATTGATATTTCTCATCAACTAATATTTTTTTAACATTATCATCGTTACCAGAATAATAGAATTTCTCTATTTCTGTTAAGATTAAATTAAAATATTAAAATAAAAAAAAAAAGGAATAATCTACCGGGATAATTACCTTTAAACTTGCTTCTTTCCCTATTTTTAAACTATTAATATTGGCTAATATTTTTTATACAAAATTTAAGAAAAAGACTTACATTTTAAACCAATATTCCGCTTCTTTTAAATACTTTTTTGTCCCAATTCCATTTCTATAACAATAACCAACGTATTTCATTGCTTCGGTGTAACCCATTTTGGCTGATTTCAGATACAATTCAAAAGCCATTTTCAAGTTTATTTTGACTCCTGTTCCATTTTTATAACAACATCCAAGATTATATGTTCCATTGACGTTCCCCATATCCGCTGATTTTTGATAATAAATAAATGCCTTATGTTCATCCTTTTCAACACCAATTCCATTGCTGTAAAAATAACCGAGCTTATTTGTTCCTTGAACATAACCCATATCCGCAGATTTTTGAATATAATTGAATGCTTTTTTTTCATCCTTTTCAACTCCGGTTCCATATTAATAGCAACATTATATGATCCACTAGCGCTCCCCATCTCTGCAGATTTTTGATAATAAATAAATGCCTTACGTTCATCTTTTCCAACTCCAATTCCATAACGATAACAATATCCAACATTATATGTTCCCCCATCTCTGATGATTTTTGATAATAAATAAATGCCTTATGTTCATCCTTTTCAACTCCAATTCCATTTTGATAGCAATCTCCAACATTATATGTTCCATAAGCGTTCCCATCTCTGCGGATTTTTGATAGTAAATAAATGCCCTTTGTTCATCCTTTTTAACACCAATTCCATTTCTGTAAAAATAACCAAGCTTATTTATGCCTTCAGCATGATCCATATTAGCAGATTTTTGAATATAATTGAATGCTTTTTTTTTCATCCTTTTCAACTCCAATTTCATTTTCACGGAAATATCCAACATCATATATTCCATCAACATGTCCCATCTCTGCAGATTTTTGATAGTATTCGAAGGCTTTACGCAAGTCCATTTCAACTCCATTACCATACCAGTATTGCTCGCCCTTGTCATAAAGTTCAGAACCAGTTTGATTCATGGTTGAAACATGAGATAAAGAAGATATTTTAGCTTAACGCCAAAAGTTAATATAGCTTTATTTAATTACATGTATATTGAATGTTGAACAATGTTTTACCATAAAAGTAACTTTATTCCTTTATTAGAATTTCACAAGTGAACACTTGTGTTCATAATTGCTTATCGTACGGCTATTGAAAAAATTACTTTATTAAATTTATAGAAAAATTAATGCTTTATGTATAATTTTAAAAATATTATTATCTGAGAACCTTTTGAAAAATTTAATTCGGATGAAACAATATAATTAGAGATTGTTTTAGAGTTGCGCGGGATTTTTAGTATGATCCCAAAATAAAATTATCTGGCCGGCATTATCATATCATCTGGCCTGCATTAACATATTTAGCTAATTCCAAATTAGAATTTATTTATTTGCATACCGTTTCACATATGTATATATATATCTGATAAGAATTTACCTTTTTGCCATTGGTATCTTTTGTTTACGTACCAAAATTTCTTTGTTATAATAAATAAATATAAATATTATTAAGTTATTAACCTTATCCAATTTTTTTCAATATCTTTTCCATTTAAGTCTGTGATTGACCGTGAAATGTCTTATTTGTTGGGTACCCTTTATTCGTAATCTGCCATTTTTCCTTTTAGACTGATATCCCTTTACTCGCGATTAGTAATGTGGTAGAATCATCCCAATGATAGTCGTCACATTTCCGTAATTTGCTGTAACTATAGTAAGTATATAGTGTTAGATCCAATAACGTGACGAAAGTACTCTACCGGGACCTCACGTGAGAACGGTTACGACGATCAATTCCTCTATATAGACATCCCGGTGATTAATCGCATTAATGCGATTAATTAAATAAATCAAGGAAGTGGAATTAATTGAAGAAAGGGGATTAATTAGAGAAGGGGGATTTATTAAGTAAACGGGTTTAAGTGAATAAATTAGAGGAATCGAATTAAAGGGTTTAAAGAGATAAATGTAATTAATGAAGTTATAAGTAAAAAGATATTATAAATAAAGGCCGAAATGGCCCTTTGGAGCAGTACGCTTCGTTTGCTTTATTAAACAATAACTCCTAATACACTACATTGTACATAATAAACACTAACACTAATACCGTTACCAACCTTGTAAACTCCTGTAAACGTCGCTGTTCAACCCTTGACCACGTGACTTACCCACTTGCATTCGTTGACCCAAAGTAACCGAAAGCCTTAACCGCCCACAAGCCAAATCTAACACCCTCTTTCGAAAAGGTTACTTATCGTACGTTACACGAGGTTTTGAATTGTGGAGCGACAGAGTCGCAAACTTCCGAACCCAACACTATAAAATACTACTGGTGGTGACTTCACGTATGCATATCAATATAAGCTAGAGTTATTATGATAATTGTGAAATGTCCTGATTTAAATTATGATAACTATTGCACCCCGAATCTGATGTCTAACCCACCTTTTCACTAGATCTGCTTAATTCCTTAACTCCACAAATGCACATTTTTTAAAGGTTAAAAAAATTCCGTTAAAAAAGATTGGTGTGTTTTTACTGCTCATCCCCAAATGATTAGACCAAATGGATTAAATATTTAAATTTTAATCAAATTAACTTATTCTACTGTATTCAAAAATCCGAATTACATATTAAGTGGTTTCCTGTAATATACTGTATAAAGAAATTTATGAGTATTTGAACGACATATCATATCGCTATATATCACACAAATTAAGAACGTAGGTACCGTATTCTACCGTAAATAAGCACCACACCCTCTACCCCATTTTTTTAAATGCCAGATTAGCGGAAATAACTTAGCTAAAGATCTCATTGCAATGTCCGTTAATCTGACATTTAAAAAAATGGGGTAGAGGGTGTGGTGCTTATTTACGATATTAACATTAAATTCCTTTAAAAAAAAATGATACCACTACTAAACGAATTGCTTTTTAAAATATTCAATAACTTTAGTACTCATTATGAAAGCTTATTTTCATGTCTTCTTGTAAACCGTCAATGGTGTAGAACTATTGTACAAATACTACGGAGCGAACCAACAAAGCATATTAGTAATAAAAGGCTTATAAAAATATATCTTTTAACGGTAAATTCCGAAGAGCAAGCACTATTGATCCTTTTTAAAATTAACTTTCCGGATTTTCCAAAACCATTATTTGGATATTCAAGTTATACTATATCCATTAGCCATCGTTTTGAATGATGGAATCGAAAGTTGGATTTGTTATGAACTTTATAATGGTGACAAGAAAATGATTAATCATAATCTTGTAAGTGTCATTACATAGGAAAATCTTTATTTTTAAACGGTGAGGTTGAATTAACAAAGAAAATTAAATTATTTATTATTTATACTAAGATGGAAAATGGAAAAAAAAAGTGAAGTACATTGTAAATTATACGTTATATATATTTAAATTAGAAAAAAAAAACATGAAGTACAATGTACATTATAAATTAGAAAAAGATTCACGTCTACTGATGAGATTTCTTAAAATCCGATGCAGCCTTATCCACAGCATTAATAGCACCAGTAATGTCATTCATAAGTTTCTGATGAGTATTTACGAAGTTTAAAAAATATATAGGGGGAGTATCCCTTTTTATGTGCGCATCGTCGAGTACGATTGCAGCAAAGCTTACTACTCTTTGATGAAATATATCCATCCTTTTATCCATTGCCTTTAGAGAAGTTTGTAAAGTTGACATAGCATGATCATATTCTTTTACGAATTTAGAATACTCTTCTCCTCGTAGAACAAGTCCTGATTCTTTAATGAGAACAACAGATGTAAAGAAGTTTCATGATTTTTTTTTAGAGATTGGTCAAGTGCAATAAACCCTTAGTAAATAAAATAATCAAGATATTCACCTCTTTTTTCCACAGGAGATGCCTGAACAAGGACGGTAATGGACACCAAAAGAATAAAGAAAGTGATCACGAATTTCATTATTGATATTTTTTGAACAGACAGTTTTATTTGAAGAGATTATTGGTGTGGAAATAAAGGTTGTTGATTTATAAGGATAACAGAAATTTTTGAGAAATTGATAAAACAGTCTGGTCTTATTTATATCTTCTTTCTTTTTATTACTTTACCTTTTTTATTCTTTTTATCTGCTTCTCTTACATTTTGTTCTATACTAATTAATCTTTCATTTCGGAAGTATGTAAAAACGGTGATATATAACATTACTTTCCACTTTAACAGATGGGACCATCGGTCTGCACCTCCAAAGAAACGATTAACGTGGAAGTTCCAAAGGTAGTGGTGCTATGCCCGAGGAATAGTTGATACGTATATACGTAAACATACGCGCGCATGAAAATATTCCATTAAATTTCAATTTTTGATTATATGAGTGCTGCAGAATGATGAATATTTAAGCTTTATTGTAACGAATTTAACCCCTGAAACATTGATATTACGTATTGGTATTGATGATCTGTGTTTAATTTTTCGTCTCCACCGGGATTCTAGATTTTAGATTGTGGAGATATTGTGGAGATGAAAAAATCAAATACAGATCATCGTACGTAATATAATAATGTTTTATGGGTTAAGTTCGCTACAATAAAAGCTTAAATATAGAGTTCCGATCCATTATCCGTTATCCATTTATCAGGATCTGAATTTATTTGGATATCCGTTTTACTATTGATATCCGGATAATTATTCGAATATTTGCCGGATTATCTGGATATCTGGATGAATTCAGATGGATGGCGGATTTATCTGAATTGGGACTCTACTTAAATATTCACTTCCAGGTTTTCATTCTGCAGCACTCTTGTGGGTGTTCACCAATGTATTTATACATGATTAAAAAATTAAAAGCCTAATACTGTATACATGCGATTGAATACATATGAATACTACGTGTGCATTAAAGTAGTGATCCAAATCGTTAGTTGGAAAACCAACTAGTTGACAACTTTCAAACTAATCGATTTGGAAAATTTTGAAATAACTAATCGGTTAAATCATCAACTAGTTAAATTCTGAGATAGAGTTCCTATCCATTATCCGTTTGTCCATTTATCCATTGGATATTCAGATCTGAATTTATTTGGATATCCGGACAATTATCCGAATATTTGTCGGTTTATCCGGATATCAATAGTAACTGGATTTCTGGATAAATTCAGATATGAGAGTGTGAGAATGAAAATCAGGAAATACATTTAATGATTTATTATGATTGGTTATGGGTTTTCATTCGCATGCATTCATGGATGACGAATTGGAACTCTGTTCTGAGATATTCCGTCTATTCGGGTTAGTTTGTGTTGATTTCTTTAATTTGATTGACCAACCAACAAATTTAGTCACATGATAGGAAAAATCGATTAGTTATAATTGGCAACTAATCGATTGGAAAAATTTTTACCAATTCAGAACACTATATTAAGGGTATATCGATCATAAGTTATCCTCACAGTAGTGCAAATATGACGCAGTAATTAATCTATCCCTTAAATTGTCAATTTAACTACGTATCTACTACGATTTAGGCTACAATTCAATATAATTTGATAGCTTAATCACAGATCAATCATGAAATTTCCAGGCAAATTTACCTGGAGAACAGTTTAAGGGATAAGATCTTGTGAGATTCAACTCGTCTTTCGACGCATATATGCATATTCTGAACTTTATTAATACCTTGTCAATTTAACCAATTACAGATTAGCCTTCAAAACTTTGGGTATTACATAATATATATCATATTTACTTGGTTTTGAAATAGACAACGCAGAAAAATATTTAACCCGACCTATCATTTCATGAACCAAGGACTTCACATTCTGCACGTATAATTCATTGGTTATATTATCGACTTTACCCATTAATGGAATTAATATTCTCGGGATAACGATCTTGAATGAATCTCTGATGGTGATCTTGACGAATCTCAGATGATGATTGAGCCAAATAAAGATACCCCTTATCACGCACAAAATTAATTATCGGAAAAAATGACCATTAAATTACAAATTAGAAATTTGCCTATTAATGTTAATGCAGTATGCTAATGCAGGCCAAATAATCCCATATTAAAAATCCCGCGCGGATCCTGTGCGTGGCCCATCACTACTTATATCACTTAGGCAGTAGATCGAAAGGTAAGTATTTTATTATAACGTAGGAAGATATGTAATTATGAAGGAGACGTATTTATTGGAGTCACGAACCATTATTTTCTTCTAGGGCGAAACGAAACGCCTTTATTATATACTTTTATTACGTATGCATTCCTAAAGCTAGTAAACATATCATCTGCGACTTATCCTTTTAACTAATTATACCATTCAAAACCTTTAATTCCTATAAATCCCACTAATTACCGTTCTCCCTCATTGTATTAATAACCCTTCTAGCCACTAGAGACTAAGGATGGCTCCGAAATTCAAAAAAGGAAATTCAAACAATAATTAATGATCAAGTGATATTGTTGTAATTTTCTTTTTTGAATTTCGTAATCATCCTTACTAGAGACCCGAAACGACTTGCAGTACTTTTACGACTTTTATTACCGGGAACCCATTTTAGGCAAATGATCAACATAACCGTAAGTTCGTTACTGCTCCACATAGATTGCGTACCGGATGGGCAAATCGCGGGATCCGCGGAATATAGTAGAATTTTTTTAATTATAAAAATATATATAAAGATTATCACTAAAAATATAATTTCTTGTTAAAATAATATATTTTAAATAATCATACATTTAGCACGCCTTGTTTTTATCTGGTTCTGGTAAAAGTTTTTCAAAATGATGCCAAATTGGTTTATTAACACCCATGTTATAATAACATTGTTTAAAGAATGACTTAATAATGGTTATATATTGTCACGATTTTAAAATCGGTCTGGACAGTGTACAGGTAACAACTAAAATATAAGCCTCATGTTAATATATTATTTTGAGGCAAAGTTAGGGATTGTAATATTTGTGCGATTCGTCATTTTTATTTATTTTAGTTTCTATAGATATCTTTTAATTATTAATTTATTTATTGTTCTAAGGCGTGTGGATTATACATGAACCTTTGTTTAGTTAAAGGTTCATAGGAAAGAGGAGGCGGAAGGATTAGACCTGGGAAACTTGGGTCGGAAACGGTTAGGAAGCCTAACGGAAGGTGCATTTCAAGGATTAGACATGGATCTAAATATGTAAAGCCTTATTCTTATGTGTTTTTAAAGTATAAAAGAGCTGCCTTTCAGCCCTTTCAATAAAGTTGTTCAGACTTGATGTCTTAGTTATAAACGGAATTATAATACATGTTTCGATATTATCTCATTGTTTATTGTTACCCGCCCTTTTTGATATTATTAAGTGTATCGCTTACGACATATATTACCTTAATCGGTATCGGTAATTCATTGATTACCGTAGATCTCGATCTTTAATTAATTACGCAATCTCACGTGCCAAGTGATCGTTATAATCGATCGCATTAGTTATTTATTATTCTGGTTCCAATTCAAAGAATATATAAGTTAACTATTGGAGTTAAATTGTGCCGATATTTCTACAAGCTTTCCCGAAACAATAGTAACAATATCTATTATAACAAGGAATAGCAAGTAAGAACTACCAACAGCAAAAAAAATTTAAATCAAGTATACGCATATATATCGAGATACCAGGAACGGAATGATGAAATCACGAAGTGTATGGTTTACAAAAGGGAGAGATATCGTGCGTCCACAAAATCTTAAACCCGATTAGTCAGCGTGATCATATCTGTCATATAATGTCAGATTTTCGCATCTAATGAAATTACACAGCCAAAATTTCAACTACATTTCATCCCCACATCAAAAATGGCTAATTTCTCAACAATCTGCACAAGTAATTGTCTAATAAAAAGCTTTCCTTGAGCAAATTTATAGATCCTGCTACATCTAACTCTAAAATAAACACCAAATCTAACACAAACGAACTCAAAAAACTTGTCTTTAATTATGTAAGGTAAAATTTTGATGATGTTAGAATAGTAATAGTTTTTAACTAATTCATGTTTTCTTATACTGAACATGAAGTGGATTGTATAAAGTTATGCATGAGCATATTAGTTTGCTTTAAAAAACATACTAATTATTATAGAAAGAAACTCATTTAATTCACTAATATTTTTAAAATTTACTAATTAAAAAACATTGCAAACCTCTTTTATAGCTTCAACAATGTGTTAGCATTTACTACAAAAAAGATCAAAATTCAAAAAAACCTTGTTTAAAAGATAAAATACACCTAAATCTAATTAGACCATATCAAATTACCCTGTGAAATAAAATATTTTAATGTGCTTTATTTAAAGCTAAACTATTACCTTATTATATAATATTTAAATAAACTTTCATTATTAACAATTTAATTTGAAAGATCATGTTGTCACCTTTAGGGTTGTGTTACATAAATTACAATTTTACATTACATGTAATTTTATGTAAGTTACAGAAAATCAATTTTCATGTTAACTTTCGCACGTCATACATAAAGTACCAGATTTACAAAATTTCGGTCAGCATTATTGCAGCGATTGATTTAAATGTACGATTTGAAATGTAAAACCTAAATCGTTGAAAATTTGATCTCAGAAACTAAATAACATGTGTTCAAAATTACAATTACATGAAATTTCAATTTACAGAATCTTACACAAACTTACGTAAAATTACGTAAAATTACTGTAATTTAACAACCCTAGTCACCTTTCCAGTGACAGATCTAAAGTTCAAATTCCAATGTCAATAAAAATTTGAAACTTTTTTTGTGTTATAGTTAACTATCTTTTGAAATTGGTTAGGATAAGTTATCTGTTACTTGTATTTTGCCAGTATAACTGAAAAGTAATATAGCATTTATATAATATATTATTGCATAAAGAAACACAAACTAGTACCAAGTAATATAAACTTGTAATAAGTTTTTATGATTATGTAAATCATAAAAACTAAAAAAATGAAACCTACTTAGAAAACCTAAGTAAAAAGATAGCTCAAACTTTTAACAATATTACTATAAAAATTAGAACTAAGAAACAAGGTTAGAACTTGTGAAGTCAGTAATGTGTTGGTCTTTAAAAATGATTTTTGTAACTAGTCAGACTATCAAAATTTTTTGAAAAAAAAAGTATATATTAGAAAATATATAAACCAAAAATATAGTTGCATCTACTTTTTTAGACTATCTGGATTAGAAGCTTAATAGAATTTGAATTAAATATCAATGTAATAAAAATATGTTATAAAGTAAATATTAGAATTGAAGTAAATTCAACAAGGGAATAGTGGTTTAATAATAAGTTTTGACTGCAAATATTAGTTTTAATTATAGTATTACTATATTAGCTATAAGATTAAAATATAAAAGATTTTGAAAAGTTTAGTAATAGGTCAAAGATTTATATATTATGTAAGTGAGCTGGCTTAAAAATTTAATAACCATAATATATTTTTATTAATATTGATCAAAGTTATTAATAGATATAGATAGTTGAATACAAAAACTAAAATAATTAATTATATATTTATTTTATTATTGCTTTTGTAATTATAATGCAACTATTAACTGAGTATATTATTAATAAATTTCTAAGTTACAAGTAATTATTTTAATATTTTTTTAAAAAAAAATAATTTAAACAAGAATAAACTTATAATAAAATATAATCTAAGTTTAATTTTAATATGTTCAATTTTTGCAATGTATTTAAGTTTGTTAATTCTATTAAATATTGTTTATTAAATTTTAATTTATTAATTATAAAATTTAGGTTTATTAATAATCAATATTACTTTTACTTATTTTATATATATTTATTTTTTTTAATATTAAAGATAAGTACTTGTGACTCAGACTTTTATTAATAGTATATTTAGCTTTGTAATTGTATTATAACAGTTATAAAAGAAAACTATAAAAAACACATATAATTAGCACTTATATAATTTTAGTTATTGTCTATTTTAAATAGTTTATCTAAAGATTCTACATTAGCTGCTATGCCTAAACCTGCTTGTAAGTTTTTTATTTAAATATTTTAATTTTTATATTTACTCATTTACTTATTTCATTAACTGGTTTAGTTTTTAGTAATACAAATATATATATAATAATTATTAGGTCTTTAACATAAGTCAAAATCAAAAATATAATCCAATTATTATTATTAGCTGCTATAAAATTAGAAGAATGTAAAAATAAGCTAATATAATTAAGATAATTAAAAAATTTGTTACATCTTAGATAATAAACATTAAAAATTATCAAAATGGTATCTAAAAAATAATAATATCATAAAGAAAATATAAAATAATATTTTAATAACAATATGTTTATATATTAAAGATTTTATAAATTATAAGAAAATATACTGTTAGCTTACTATTAAAATTTTTTAATCATTTTAAATAATATTTAAATAATATAAATCATATTATATTAATTATAAAAAAATTCAATATGTTAATCAAAATATTCAAACTAATTATTTTATAGATAATTAACAAATATATTAAAAAATATGTATAATTTAATAGTGTAATAAAAAAATAATAATTTAATGATAATTATATAATTTTTACATCTTGAATAATATTTTAAACATAATATTAAAATATCATCTAGTAAATAAAATATTATTAAGAAAATATTTATTAATATCTTTAAGATTTAGTAAATTATTATTATTTTTTTTTTAATTAAGGTGAGGCCTTGCTTATATCTTTATTAATAATTTAAAATAGTTATATATATTTATGCTATAGCTAAGGCCAACACTTGCAGTCAGGGCTAACCATTAAACTGCTAACTATATAGCTACTACTATTTGTACAAAACAAATTAATTGAAAATTACATGCAAGAATAAAAGCTCAAACTAGTTTATCTGCAACCTAAACCTACTAGAGTGGTCAAAGCTCACCTAGATTTGGATGTTTAATATATAATTTAATGATATACTATATTTAATCCATAGGATGGACCAAATCTTAATTTTGCGAATTGCTTGGCCAATAGAAGGGAATGTATTTGAGTGAGAATGTAATTGATCAGAAAGTCCGCAAAGGCATGAGTAAGTGTAATCTCTTTGAGGGTGTATAAGTTTTCTTGTTGGATTGGATAATCTTGAAAGTTGGTTAATTGGTTGAGATTGGGGTTTGTTTTGTTAATTTTTCTAATTAGAGAAATTGATAGAGTATGTTTTCCATAGTTGCTCATATGATTGTTCATTAATATTAAAGAGAATATCAATAATAACTTGAGAAGCCATTTTGTATGAAATATCAGAGCTTTGAATTGTTGATATAAGAGACTTTGGAATAAGTCCTTTAAGAGTAAGATTGGGGTAGTAAGTATTAGATAATGTATATAGAGAGTTAAGAGCTAGATGATGGAGAATTTTGTTAATTAAGTTATGTTTATAGTGAGTGTCAAGATCAGGCAAGTTATTAGAGATAATTTGGTTAGTAGAGGTTTGGATAATTTGATCGAGTAAAGATGGATTAGCATAAGTACACCAGTGAAAATAGGAATTAGATAGGTTACAAAAGAAACAAGTAGTATTTAAATATCGGCTTGGATAAATATTATAATATAATGAGTATGTTGGCAACTCATTAAGAAGAATTTTTGTTTTAAAAGATTTTAGTTGATTGAGTCTAAAATTGGTAATTTTATATGAGGGTTTTTAGTTGTGATTGAAGTAGAGCCAAGTAGATCTTCAGTCAATATTTTGGTTAAAATATAACAATTCGCTGTTTTGTTTTTGTAATACTCATATAGCTAAGATGTGAGCTTTACAGATTTGTTTAATGAAGTGCCTTGTAAGAAGTTCTACATAATGGTGTTCCTATTAAAGAATATGATAAGGGTTATAGAGATTTGTGTAATTAAATGAAAGAAGTGATGACAGTAGGTGTTGTTTAGCAAGAGAGTCTGCTTGCTCATTGAGATGGTTGTCTGAATAAGCCTGTACTTTGTGAAAAGTAATTTGTAATTTGTATGATTTGATAATATTTAGGAAAGTATACCAAATTGGCCATAAATTAAATTTAAGTAACTTGTTAGAGTGAATTGGCTTAAGTTAAAAATTGTTAAATTTGCAGATTACTAATTAAGAGTCTGTAAAGATATTAATAATACAATTTTGAGAAGCAGTTAAAATTG